ATTTACTGTGGCAATGACAAGTCATGCAAAGGAAAAGGGGTTCAACTACCGCAGCATGTAAGAGTTGCATCGTTGTTGTCCTAATGCAGTAAAAGAGAGCAGGAGCGAGAGAGTGGGATTGTATTGGAATGAACAAGGGGTTTTTGCTTGCTTGGCACTTCTGAAGATAGTATAGTTCTTCATCGGTGCCATCGATCTCAACGTCGAAACCATGTCTATCGAGAGGGGACAAAAACCAGCAACAGAGAAGGAAACACAATCAATGCAATGCATAATATGATGCATGATCATGACATGGTAAAATGAGTGTGCTGGGCTAATGCAACTACAACCAGATGGGTTTGAGCTATTTTGAACCAAAGACTCAAAGTTCAAACTCATTTGTGATCTTAAAAAGTGCTTTATCATGTTTTGCACTAAACAACAAGTTAACTTGTTTAAACATGCATGAAACCAGTACAGATGGATAGATTGGATTTTTCTGATCATTTTTCATATATAATTTATTTCATTTGTAGTTACAGATTAATTTCTATGAGTTTTAGAAGTTAGCACTATTTTCTGGAATTTCTTGAATAAGAAGAAATCCAGAAAAGGCATTATTGCGTCAGCATTGCGTCAGCAAGTCAACTGTGCGGTCCAGGTCAAACCTGACCAGTGGGGCCTGCGCGTCAGTGTAACGGGGCAGTAACAGAGGCTGGCCAGTGGGGCCAGGTCAACGTCGACGTGGTAGGGTTAAACTGACATGTGGGGCATGCTGGTTTAGTTAAACTAAACAGGGAATAAATCCCAGGGTTAATTAGGGCATGGGCCCATATGTCAGAGAGAGGGAGGGTTAATTAGTGGCGTCTTCAGTGGCTAATGACGTGTCCACGTCATCCAAAACGGCGGTTAGCCGCTGGTGCTAATCGGGACACGGCGGGGCTGCCCGTCCGGCCAACTCCGGCGATGGGAGCTCGCGAGGCTGGGTCCTGCAGATTCAGCATGACAAGGCGCGTCGACCAGTGGTGGTGGGTGGTGCTAGGGTGGCCGGAATCGCTGACGGCGGTCAGCGGGGCGGCGGCCGGAGCTACTGCCTGCACGGGCGCGGCGGTAGAGCAAGCAGGCGAGCGAGCAAAGGGGTTGGGCGGCCTCCTGGAGGCACCAGGAGCATGATGCGGTGCAAGGGCACGGCTGGGTTGAGATCAGGCCACGGTGGCGACATCGCCGGCAGAGCCTAGCTCTCGGGCTAGATGGGAACGACGGCTAGAGAGGGAAATAGAGCACGGGGAGAGAGGGGTTCAGCGTATTGGCTCACGGCCAGTGCAGGGGGCGCCGAAGCGGGCTCGGGGAAGGGCTGGAGCAGGCGGGGCGTCGGCGGCGATCTCGAGCATCCGAGGGAGGAAGAAGAGGTTGGGGACGACACTCCGAGGGCCTTCCGGTTGCGTGGATCGACGGAGACGACATAGAGGTCGACGACAGAGTTCGTGGACCGGTCGGAGAAGCGAGGGCGAGGCGGTGGACGCGGCGATGCTCGTCGGCGTTCTTGGGCGCCCATGAACAGAGAGAGGGGAGGGAGCAGAGGAGGGGAGGAAAGCGCGGGGAGGAGTGAGAGGGGTTCGGGGGGGTATCGTGGCGACTCTAGTTCGTCCAGGGGGGCGGCAAGCAGGAGCTGGCCGGGGCGCGTGCCGGCGGGTGGTGGCCACGCGCCTCTGTCCTTCTGTCAAAGGAGGAAGAAGACCGGGGAGCCCCTGGTGGGCTGGGCCAGAACAGGAGATGGGCCGGCTCTGCTGCAGGTAAGAAGCCCAGGTAAACTCTGTCTCTCTCTTTCCTTCATTCTAGTTTCTGTTTTCTAATTTTCTGCAACTGTTTTGGCTTAGTAAAAAATACTAAAGCATTTTGTAAAATCCTGAAATAATTTGTGGACACTCTCTGGATTATTGCAGTGGCCCACAAATAATTCCATCATTATTTGAGCACTTGAATTATTTATAGTATTTAAATGCCCAAAGCCAAATACAATATGATTTAAAATCAGTGCCCAAAATTATTCTTCAAAAATGTTCATTGTTTTTGGTTTGGATCAAGACCATTGCCAAAAATATCAAACATCAATGAAGAGCATTTGGGGTTCACTGAATGCAATTTTTAGGGTTATTTCCCCTTCTTTTAATTAAATTTTTGAGGCTTTAAAATTTCCTCAGTTCAACTTTTTAAGAATTCAGACATGATGCATGGATGCAAAGCCACTAATTACGAGCATTATTCTAGGGCTGTGACACGTCATGTTAGTAACATCCTGCATTAGTGATTGGTTCATGGTGTGCACTGCGTGCTCAGTTAGTCACCCATTCTCAAATTGCTCCAAGCCAAGCACGTTTAACTTTGAGATTCCTATTGAATTGCATCAAAAAAAGAGACATCTTATTGATATGAATAATCTATCATTCCTATTAAGCTGGGATGTCACAGCTTCCCAAGATGCATACAACCTTGGATCCAGATGATCTAAAAAGCAATGTCCATCTCGATGAGACCAAAAACTTTCATGTTGAGAATTTTCCATATGAAGGCATCTTAGAGTATCTACACACGGACTTGGCAAATCCGGGCCCTCAAACGTCTGCGGACGCGTCTGGGCATGCATGCAGACGCATCCAGATGACCCCTCGTATCTTGTGCCGGACATCAACATATCTCAAATCCGGACACTCAAATCTATGCACGTCCATTATATACGGCAATGTCACATGTAAATAACAAATGTTGGTACCGAAAATACAAAGTTTTTACATAAAATTTACTTTAAGTGCACGACTCAAACATTAGCTCTTTGGTTTTCATTATGGGTCCACATGTGCTCCACAAGATTATTGAGTAGCTGCGCGTGCACCTGATGATCTTGAAGATTCTTATGCATTTGTAGAAAGTTCATAAGCCGAGGTGCATTTTGATCTTCCAGGATTTGAACTTGTTCTCCAGGCGCTTCAAAATCATTGGTTTGTGCAACACCATCACCCTCATCCCCAATAATCATATTGTGTAAAATAACAAAACATGTCATGAGCCGCCACAAAGTTTCTGATTCCCACATCATTGTAGCTCTGCTAACAATTCCTTAATGAGTTTGAAGCACTCGAATGCCCTCTCCACATCCTTCCTAGTTGCTTCATGTATTGTTGCAAAGTGGCTTTATTTGTTGCCCTGTGGTTCAGATATGGTCTTCACAAACGCCGCCCACTGAGAACAGATACCATCAGCAAGATAGTATCCCATGTTGTAATCACAGTCGTCGATAGTGTAGTTGTAGGACGACGATTCCTCATTACAAAGCCTACTGAACTCCGGAGATCGTTAAAAGCACGCCGATGTCATTGTGAGAACCCGACAATCCAAAGAAAGCATGCCAATTCCAGAAGTCATGTGATGCCACTGCTTCTAGTATGATGATGCCCTCTTTGGTGTGACCTTGATACATTCCCCGCAAACCTTTGGGGGCAGTTCTTCCATTTCCAATGTATGCAATCAGTTGATCCGGGCATTCCTGAAAACCCTCTGGCCTCCCTAATACCCAATAACTTCTATGTGTCCTACACATTTGGTTCTCTCAAATACTTTGCTCCAAATACCTGCACTACAGCACTAGCAAACTTGACAATAGTTTTCAGGCATGTGCTCCTCCCCATCCTAACCATCTCACCGACGGCATCTGCGGCAGTACCAAGTGCAAGCATCCTCAAAAGCAGCCATGCATTTTTGCTTAGCACAGAAAGATAATTGGCCACAACAAGCCCATGTGAGCTTGAAGTAGTCATTTGTGCCTCCACTCCCTGCACAATACGCAAAACAATGGTTTCCGCATGTCACAACGACAACGAAACCATGGATCATCCGAGAAAATTGGGTTTGGACCAAAGTAGTCCTTCTGCAATAGCGATGCTCCGGACACCCTACCCCGATTGATCAATCTTCTCTCTTTGACCAAGCCCTTGAAATTGAGAACATGGTCATGTCCACTTATTCGTCCAAAATCCCAGAATCCCAGATTGGGACGCTTCGGCAGTCTTGCGTCGTCCTAGCAAGTGAATGCCGGTGGCAGGTATACAGAAGACACCATCATGCATGGCCTCTTGCTATGGCGTCCTTGTCAATAGCACCGGACTAGTCGCGGCGTCCAGTTACAATGCCCATGTAAGATGTCATCGACGAAACGGTCCTATATCTGCTACATATTTGAAGTGGATATTATGGGTGCTAGTCAACTCGGATATTTGAAGCCCGTTTAGAAAACCCATCTGAGTCGCATTTTCGTGTCCGGTCAATGACCGGACCGTTTACCCGAATATTTAAGACACGTTTGGGACATCCAGCTATAGATGCTCTTACATATTGCAACCTAAAACTTAGCGTCAAACACATGCTCCTTTAAGTTTCTCCTAACTTTCGCGTTGGAGTCTCGTTTTCAATTTGATCCTCTCGGGGCTTAATCTTTTACGGGCTCAAGGAGATCGTGTCACTTTTGAGCGTCGACGGGTACGGAAATGGTAAACAGTAAATGGGTAATAAATCGATTTTGGCAAAGAGCCAGCTGCGCATGCCCATTAAAGCGCCACGTCACGGCCTCCCACAGCTCAGCTGCAATACCATCCGTACCCCTCACCGACCCAGCCCCTCAGAGGACAACTAGCACTACCATCGGAGGGCACCATAGTCATTTACCCGCAGGCTCCTAACGATCACAGTTCATCCGTTCAATACAATATTCCATTTTTAAAACCATTTCCGTGCAACCTTTTTATGCCCGAGACAGTAGGAGGACAAGAGAGCGAGGGCGACCAATAAATTCCTAATTTTTCGCACTTTTCCGCCCCGGGATTCCCCCACCTCTTGTTCCAATCGATTGGTGGGCGTCCTCGTTCTTGGCTTCCCGATTGAATCCGTGGGAAGCCAGAGATAATTCTCTCTCCACTGCGAATTTTTTTGGTGGTTCGAGTTCTTGATTTGTTTGCGAGGAAGCCACCATGAGCGCCGGAAGCGCCAGTTTCCTCGAGATCCAGCCCTCGGAGCTGGCATTTCCCTGTAAGTTGTCCCCAGATCTTGTCTCCAGATCGAATTCCTAGAATCGCGTCGCGTAGTTATTGCTGTGTCTGTCCCGTCCAATGGATCCTGGTCAAAGCTGGGATCTTAGGATGGAGACGAGGTCATTGGTCCTTGCCTATCGGATCCGTCTGTCTGATCAGTTTGCTTTGTCTAGTGCTCTTTTAGATGCGAACTCAGGATCTTGGACCATTGCGTGCTCTCTGCAAACCGGCAGTAACTGCATGGCGTTTTTTTCTTGTAGGATTTCAGTTATTTATGTCTTATGTGCTTCCTGATGCACATGGAATCCCACCCTGTATCGAGGGCATGCTTCGAATGTACATTCTGTGGAAACATGATTATGATAATCATTTGATATTCCAGGAATTTGGGATCTCGCTAACAAATATGTATGTCATCGCTACATTGATCTGGCATTACGGAGTTGCTTGAAATGAAATGTTCCTGTCAATTATTTACATTGTGTTTAGGATGTGATATTAAGGCCATTGTTAGCTGATCTTGAATTGGATCACTATGTGCTAGATTGTTCTGTCAATGATCATGATTCTGTTTATTCAGTTTGCTTGCTTTCAATGTTTGTCTGGGTTAGTTTACTGTATCTGTGCACTGAATATCTAGAGGTTTGTACTGTCTTTCTTAATCAAAATGTGCCTGAACTTCTATTTTGTACATACAGTTGAATTGATGAAGCAGAGCTCGTGCTCCATGCAACTCACAAATAAGACCGACCATTATGTAGCATTCAAGGTAATCAGTTGTAAATTTTCAATCCTATGTGCCTCATGTTTTTGTTGTTCATATAGTTGTTCTAATGGACAAGGAAATCATTACCTCATCACTGTTCGCAGGTCAAAACTACCAACCCAAAGCAGTACTGTGTGCGCCCTAATATTGGCGTTGTACTTCCTGGGTCGACTTGTGATGTTACAGGTAGCTGGCGGTCCATTATATAGGGATAAACAGCTCAGTGAAAAGAAAGTCTGCTTAACTTGCTCAGTTTTCTATTTACAAGTATCCTGAGCATTTTCTCTGTTGTTAGTTACAATGCAAGCGCAGAGGGAAGCACCTCCTGATCTGCAGTGTAAGGACAAGTTCCTAGTTCAAAGTGTTGCAGCTGAGAATGGCGCAGAAACTCAAGATATTAGTGCAGCAATGGTACCTACCTTGACACTCCATTTGTGTTATTTCTGTCAATTTGCTCCTTGCTGCATTTGTTCGTTTCTAGCACATCATCATGTCATTCATCCATGTGGTTTCATGACGACAGTTCAACAAAGAGCCAGGGAAGGTTGTTGATGAATGCAAGCTGCGTGTAATTTATGTGCCAACATCTTCACCTAGCCCGTTCTCTGAAGAATCAGAACAAGGGAGTTCTGCTCGTTCATTGGAAAATGGGACCCCTAATTCTACATTGCCACAATCTGTAAGTCACTGAGTTAGCTCTTTCGTTTTTTTTTGTTTTGAATGAAATTCCTGGGGCTTTTTATATGATAAAATTACAATATATTTAATGTCCATTGTCCAGGTATTTAGATCATCTGGTGAAGCATCAAAGGAGAAGTCCTCGGAGGTACCCTTTATTTCTTTATCTAACCTTTATGGTTCCTATGTATTTGATATTAATCAGTACCCTGAGGTAAAAAGGCTGCAAGTTGTAAGAATGAGTGAACAACTGGTCAACTGTATATTGACAATGTTGGTATTATGCTGTATGCCCCTACTTAGATCTTACACTAACTGACTGATTTGTATATGGACTGTAGTACTGATTGTTCAATTTTTTTTTGGAGATAAAAGAATAGATATGGCTTGTCCAGACATTCAGAATTGCCCTTGCATTAAAATCCTCTGGAAGCATACGCTAGCTTCCTGACTGCAAGTGATTGTGAATCTTGCTAGCCGGGTAGCATGCCCTGCCAATCATAAATATCCGTCCGTGAAATAGAAAAAAAAGCTTTTGTGCCCCCTTCAGCCAGTACCACCCTTCCCTGTTATTATGAGGTGATTGGTGATAAGACTGAGTAACAGGTTCATTACTACCATTAGAACATAAGATATTGGCATGAGCCTTAGTCTTTAACTCTTAAGTAATGTATATATGATTTGTATCACTGTTGACTTGGGAATATAAAAACAGATTAGGTTATTACTACTTCCCATAATATTTGGAAAACAGGAGAATGCCAAGTAGCATATGATGCATTTTTATCCTACTTCCCAAATTTTGGCGCCCCTAGGATTCCTGATTTACCCTCAGACGAGATGGATTTGTAATTTATATGCCTTACCTATTCCTGTAAGCTTCTCACTACTTGCACTGTATAGGGTGAATTGTAGCACATACGCAAGCAAAATCATGTGGTCTTGATGATAATTGGGTGGCACATGAAATTGCTAGGGTTAGTTGTGTCGAGTGCGGCGGTGGTGTGTTGCAATGGCAGTTCCTGCCTGTGCGTGGGAACTGGTCTGGCGTGATTGTAATCCAAACATTGTTTCTTAATTAATTAATACATACACCAATTTGAAAAAAAAAATCATGTGGCTTTGATGGTATTGGCTACTGTATGCCAATTCGAAAAAGAAATCGTGTGGCTTTGATGGTATTGGCTACTGTATGTATTGACTTTGTAAAAGTTTGCTGACAACAGATAGCCAAAATGCATGATCTCTTACTTAGTTGTCAATCTATCTCAAAATGCTTTTGAAATTTTATGTTTTGATAAAATGGCTGTGGTTGGTTATTCCTTCTAGGCAACATCCATGATTTCCAAGCTAACTGAGGAGAAAATGTCTGCTGTTCAGCAAAACCAGAAGTTGAGACAAGAGCTGGTAAGTGCTTCCACAACTGTGACAGTTCTGAACCGATGCTGTATTCTTGGGTGTTATTCTGGAATTAGTTTTCCATCATTTACATGTTTCTTAACCATTCCATCTCAAAGGTGACTCAAGGGGTTGGTTACTCAGCTATTTATTGATGTGAGGTTCAACAAATTATAGACATGCTCCCCTCTTTGTACTTTATGTTTATCACTACCATGAATAGCGGAAATGTATGAGATAATCTACTGCATTAGCTTGCTTGCTCGTCCTAACCAAGAAATCTTTATTCACACCATTGGTTTTTTATACAAGCCAAGTAAATGCTTATGTGTTGAGCATTATTCAGATTTATCAATTGATGTATTGACGAGTGTCATGCTCATAATTACACATAAGCATAAAGTTAAGATGGTGTTTGTCGGCATAAGTTTTTTTTTTTCAAATTTGTTGTTTGTTGGAGATTGTCACGAGAAGATGCAGTGATTGTGAGCTGTGTGTTGTTTAGAGTGAACCTTATGTTAGTATGCCTAATAGATCAGTTGTTTATTTCTTAATGTAAGCTGTCTAAAGTTAACAATAATTGACAATGAGCTTCAAATTCTGATGACCTATCAATGGACAATGAAATTCAAATTTGCAGTGCATAGTTTTGGCAGATGTAAATAGAGTCTAAAAGTTGTGCTGGGTCTCTGGCAAGTTAAATATAACAAAAGTACCCCCTGCTGATATAATCAGATTTTCCATTTGCTGGATTTTTTTTCAATACACATTGTTTGATCGATAAATGTCAAACTTACATTGTGCATGATGATGCATATGCTTTTAGCCTGTGTGCTTATCAGAATTTAATGGATTCTGCGAAGTTGAACACAGTTTATCAGAATTTAATGATAAAATCTCTTAATTTCAGGATGTCCTACGCAAAGAGAGCAGCAAAAGCAACGGCGGTTTCTCAATCACCTTCTTGATCGTGGTTGGTATTCTGGGCATCATCGCTGGTTTCATCCTCAAGAAGACATAGGAGAAGAGTAGTCCCCAACAAGGTTACATTCCCAGGAAAGGATGGATACCAACAACATCCCTTGTGTTTTTACTCCTAAAAGGAGCGCCTGTTCTATTCTAACTTGTAACGGCTTAGAAGCTTTGGTTTGTGTACATTACATGGTGGTTTTCATGATTTTAATCACATCGAGTAGACTTGTTTTAATTATAATTCTTATTAACAGCTGCAAGTTATGTCACGTTCGCCATTCTATTCTAACTCCTTTAATTCATTCTAATCTCACCTTGTGACCGTTGGTGAATTCATTGCTGCTTCTGCCAGATCTTTCAGCTTCATGGAACTCCTGACATCTTACCAGAATATATTTGATCATGGAAACTACAGTATGTACGTAGTTAAGCCATTCAGTACGCGGAAGGAAAGGTCTGTTTAAGCTGTCGATTCATCAGGGTGATGAGTCTGAATACAACATGATTCATGTGTCTGATCCTACAGTAAGGCTTATAGAACATGAGAGACCTTCAGGTAGGAACGACGTATAGTTCCGGACGCCTAGGGGCCCTGGGGAGCACCCACGCCGCCGTGGCGACCATGCCGGCGACGAACCCTAGTAGAAGGCATGCACACCTCGTGGCGACGATCCTGACGAGAGAGCAGGGGGTGGTTTCATCGGTCTCCGCCGTCGCCGCCTTCCGTGTACTGGCAGCACTGATGGCCGGCCACTCCCCTTCCGTGGTCACCGTCGACATGCTGCGATCGCATCGGCACCGTGCCTTTCCCGCGGCCCCTTCGCTGCCGTTCCGCACCTGCGTCACTTCGGAACCGCCTCCGCTGTCTCTCCTGCAGACCGTCTCTCCGTCGGCCTCGTACATGTCGTCGTCGTCGTCCTCCTTGTTAGTCTCGCGGTGGTGGTGCGTCCAGGTTTTAGGCTTCGACATGCACCGGTTTCTCCGTATATGTAAAGAACGCATGTGCCATAACAGTTTCTCCGTATCTTAGATAACTTGGTAAGACTAGAAAGAAAGGAGTCTGCCGAAAAAAGAGAGGATAAAGAGCGCTAATGAGCCTTTGCATTATACCATATATAAAAGGAGAAGAGTCTTAATTTGGACATAGACCAGCCATCTAAACTATGTTAATTTTCAGGTTATATATTAATCAAAAGCACATTTATTTCCTTTGTTTCGTGTGATTTTACATTGCAGCAGGGTATTTCTATCTCCACTATCTAAAAAACATAAAGTTTATCTTATGTTAATTTTTCTTTCAACCTCTTGTCTCCTTAGGTGTGCTATATCCGCCCACCCTTCCATCGGTTTTTCGCTCTTCCTTTCCTATTTATGTTTTCTTGGTCCGTCTGAATTCTTTCTTTTTCTTCATCCCACTACCTATGTCCTCGCCAG